GCTATTCTTTCCTTCAAGATTCAGAAGCCTTATCAACCGTGAGAAAGCCTAGCGCGCTATATGAAACATATTTCGATAATCTGATTTGGTAACGGTTTGTCTGAGCAACGATTACTTGTCGCGTTTATTAGAAAACATGCAACTGAACTGAAATGTTCAGTCGACAGCTGAGAGTCGCGGAGTCGAGATCATCAGACGTGCAAAGTAGGCATTGGATCATAGCGAACTATGACCCATTGACATGTCACGATGCTACTGCTCCATAATCGGTCAGTATGCGCGAGTAAGTTTTTACATCTGTCTGTCTCTACCCCGTTCCCCTCAAACCTTTGGGTCAATATGACTCTGGAACGCCGTCCAACATGGCGCTTGGCCAATCGCCGCTAGAAATGACATCACAGCACAAAAGCCATAAGCATTACGAATATTTACCAGAGCAAACGAAAACGCCACATGAAAAGAAGACGCTTGAAGTCGAACTTTGAACAATCGTGACTCAACATCGTGTCCCGGTGCAATGCAACGAAGCCTTCTAGCGGTTGTTATTCAAGAATACCTCCAATTCGATCGCGTTCGGCTACCCGGCGGCGTAGGTTGTTATAATCGCGAAAACTGAACCAAATTATTCATTGGTCGATTTCTCTTACACGATCGCAACAATGACATTTTCGATTAGTGACCATAATTTAGCGGTCGGCTACAACGAGGACCACTTTGGAGAACGCGCCCCGGTTCCCGTCAAGGAGCCACTTACTGAAGAACGATGCAACGCGAAGTGTCGCCAGATGCCGAACGTTGAAGTGGAACCCGACCTGCGGCAACGCGCGAGGGCCACGCCACAGTCGATGTTCAATATTTACCTGCGATATTACCTCAACATGCCTTCAACCACCCTGGCGATAAGAAAGACAAATATTCGCGGTTCCATACTCCGTCTGGACTCTACTTCCACTTGTGCGGCAGCAGTACTTTTCGTCGGCTACTCTTATCTTTGCATAGAATACACCGTATGATGTAGACAACGACACTTCGTCATGGTACTCTTTGCGAAGATCAACAAAAATTTTACTCCTGTCATAATCACTTATCTGTGTTTATCACTACTATGCATTACGCAGTCAGTCCCCGCCGGCGCTGCCTCATTAATCAGCCACTTCACAGTTCGCAACAGTTTAACCTGTATCCAGGTGCACAGGTGAACTTTGCTTTAAAGTTATATCATGAAAACTGTCACAGAATATTTAAATATCCAGATAACTAAATATCCGTTAGAAACAAGCATAATTGGATAAAATGTAGAAATTTAAATTTTTATTTTTAAAGGCTTGGCAACCGTTTCAACCTAAAGAGGGGGAAAGGTGAAGATCCTAAGAACAGAAATAAAATAAGTGAGGATAAATAGCGAATGCGACAGTAAAATGTACATGATCTGCATTCTTTTCCCGTAACATTGTTGGAGGGGTAGGATCGAACGTATAGTTGGTGCAGCTACTTTGTTAGAAACGATGTATGAGTCTGTTTGTCAGCAAAAATGAAATTCTTTGCATTATTCAAACAGCATCTAATATCAGTCAGTCAGTTTGGATGACGATTTATCCTCTCAGGTCGCGCAGGCAGACTTTCACGATTGTATCCAGCGTTTGAGCACCAGCAGATGATAACCAAAGTCTCGAGTAGAGTCCTTTCATACACTTTACTCTTAGCTGTCCCCGGGGTATTCGGCCGGTCGGTTGGATAACTAGTGGTTGTTTCGTCTTCCTTTCTGCAAGCGGTCGTCGAAACAGACTCTATTTTTTTGACGAAGATGCTAATATTTTAAAATATATACTGAACATATGAAGAATAAAAAAACAAAAGTATTTAAAATACTCGCACCTATGATTTTGTAACTCTCCGGTTATATTAATCATCCACTTGTGTCAGCAAATAATCCAATACAATTTTGGTCGCTTCTTGTAAAGTGATGTTCATTCTTCATGGC